TTGTTTCTGAGCTCTGTGGTGGCTCCCTGTGTTTCCCCAGGGCCCAGGGAAAGTCCCGGTGCCCTAGGCCACCCCACAAGTCCATCAGAGGGAACCTGAGTCGATCACTGTAAGCAGTCTGGTGTCTGAGGTCCTGCCTGGTGGGCACAGAGACCAGCTGGTTGTGCCAGCTGCCTCATCTCCCCAGGACCCTTCCTGAGGCCGCAGGGTCTGAGCAGGCACCCGGGAGTTCCCCCCACCCTGAGGGGCTCCGCCTGATCTTCCGCCCCCTCCACTTGAGGCACCCATCCTACACACACTTCACCAGCTGCCTCCCCATGGGGGGCCCAGCCAGGCCCGGCTGGTCCACGCTGCCCCCCCACCTGGGCACAACCAGCCCAGCATTGAGGGGTCCAGAGTCTGAGACCCCTGGGCAGCGCAGATGAGGGGCCAATGACGTGGCCTCGCAAATCACGGTCTTTCTCCCCCATGACCTCCTCGGGTCCCTCAGGGTGGCCGTGGCAAGCATTTGTGTCTTAGCCATCCTGCTCCAATGCCGTCCATTTAGGGGACATGGCCGTGCATGTGGCCAAGGCCTCTGATGAGCCCCCTGGACTTCGGGTGGGGACCATGGGGACATGGGGGCTGCGGGTCTGAAAAATGGGTGCATCCCTTAAAGCAGACACTGTCCAGCACCCCCTGGGCAGCAATCCCTCCCTCTTGCTCTTCTGGATGCCCCATGCTTAGCTGAGAGGCGACTCGGGGAAGGTGTGTGGGACAAGCGGCTGCCTCCGAGCCCCGGTTTCCTCATCTGCAACTGGGGTCCGTGAAATCCATGCTGGGCAGGCGGAGGCTCGCTTATCTGGAAGACGCACAGTAGGATGCTGTGCACGGGGTGGCATGTGGGCGCCTGGCCAGGGCAGTGGCCTCAGAAGGCTTTGCTCCTGCCTGTGGTCCCAGAGGCCACACCTGTTGGGCCTGGGCTGCTGCCAGCGCCGCTCCCTGCCAGGATCTGATGAGCTAACGGATTCACCAGAGTCCTGCTTGATGAGATTTCACCAGAGAAAGGGCTGGGGTCAATCCCCTGATAGGATGTCCCCAGGCATTGCCATGGAGATGGCAAGAAGGTGGAGGGATTGGGAACTGGCCAAAGGCCTTGGCCACGTCCCCAAGCATAGCCATCTGGCTGTGGTCAGGCCACTGTCCCTGCCTCCGGCCCCTCTGATATGGGACAGGAAGCCAAGCATCAGACACCCCTGTTTGACGTGGTTGGCTGTACCAGCGCTGACTCAGTGAAGATTAAACCCCATGCCAGCCAGATCTGGTTGGGGACATTCCCACTATGGGGCAAGAAACAGTCAAGTTCGGACTGTCAGCATCCCGCAGAGTTAGGGGTTATAGCGGGGGGTGACCAGGGAACTCCACGACTCTTCCATGCGGGCCCCTCCTCTGCGAATTCAGCAATCCCTTCTTCTGTGGGGAGTGCAAACAGGCCTGCACCCAAGGACCCCTGGGGACCCCCAAGGATGCCCTCAAGCACTCACCGTGGGCTGTGTGTTCACTCCAGTGCCCTCAGACATGTGATGTGGACACAGAATCAGTCCCCAAGCCCCCTTAGGGGTCTCCTCTCCATAGGCAGAGCCATGAGGCTGCCACCCACCTGGTGCTGTTGGGGATGTCTTGCCCACTCTGCTCCTGAGACCCCCGCCAGTAAAGGAAGCAGCTGCTGGGCTACCAAGAAAATGGGACCCCCCAGCCCAGCCCCGCCCAACCTAACCCCAGCCTGACCCTAGGCACGACCCCAGCCTGGCTCAGCAGCTCCTGGCTGAGGTGGGCAGGGCAGGGGGCTGCTGGTCTCAACATCTCGAGCCCCAGGGCTGGTGTCACCCCCTCCCCCACTCCCTGCCTGTCACTCCCATTCCAGTTTCTTAGCAGGGGCCAGGAGTGACCTGCCAGGGTGAGCCAGGTTTGGCCAGCGGGATCTGGGAGGCTGTGACCTCCCAGTGGGACCTCAGCATTCCTTCTGTACGAGGCTGTCCAGGACTGGCGGGCAGGGGCTCTGTCCTGGTGGCAGCTTCATGCTCTTCCTATGTGGGGCCCAGCGGGCTCCAGGGGGCTGGTGTTTTCTCCTCCATGGGGAGGAGGTGGCATCCTGTCTGGGCCCACCAGCTGTGTGGCTCTGGGCCGGCACATCACCCTCTCTGTGCCTTGGGATCCTAGTTGGTAAAATGGGAGCTCTTAGGACCCGCTGCTCAGAGGACTGCTGGCCCTGGAGGAGCGAGTTATGAATGAGCACAGCATCCTCCAAGCTGTGGCTGTCCCGGGGGTCCCCGCACCACCCTCCCCCAGAGGCTCTTGCTTTCTCATCCATAAACAGGGGGACAACACCAGACTCTGTCATTTCTGCGAATTCTCACACCGTAACACACGCCAGCGCATTCTGCGTGGCATCTGGCCTCGGCAGCCTCTGCTCCCTGGCGCCTGCGACATGGCGCAGGTCTGGGCACTGCCGAGAGGGTCCGGGCAGGGCCTGGGCGCCCACCCTGGGGGACGCGGGCGGGAGGCTGGCCCGCGGGAAGGGGCTGTGGCTCCCCTCTGTGCGCACACAGAGGACGATGCGGTCCCTCCGCTCGCGAAGAGGAAGTGGCTCCGTGGGCTTTGGCGGGAGGAGGCGCCGGCAGGGGCCCGGGGCGGGAAACTGTGACGCTTACAGGAATTATCGCCGCTGTTGACAGAAAGGGCAGGATCGGTGTGGGTTTTACCAAGCCAGGAACTTCCGTGATAAGGAGGAAAGCATCTTAGGTTTCTTCCCTGCCTTGCTGGGGGCCTGAGGGACAGCATGGCGGGGATGCTCACGGCGGGGTTGGCCTGTCCCCGCCTGGACCCGCTGGGCAGGGCGCGGGCACCAGGGAGAAAGGCAGCAGAGTAAATTTGATTTTATGGCGGGGCTGCACTGATTTATTTATTTTCTCTGAATCACTGAGCAAACAGAATTCCTCCCAAGGTCTGGCCTGGGCTGCTAGAGTCCTGGCTCCCCACGATCCATGGCTCTGGCCAAAGGACCAGTCCCTGCACCCATGTCCACAGCAAGGACCACACTAGCCTCTGCTGAGAGTGGCCACCGAGCTCCCGCTGGCCTCTCATGTGGCCGAGACCCTCTCCCGGCACACTACGTCCATTTGCCCAGTCCCCTCCTCGTCCCTGGGTCCTGCACGGCTCCTGGGACCCCAGCCTCCTCGACCCCCTCCTTCCGCCTCTCAGCTCCCCCACACCTCCCTCCTTCAGTCTCTGCCTCACCTGTCTCCCTCCCACCTTCAGGGCACCCCTGAGTGCACCCACATCTGTGAAAAATTTTGGAGTAGGGGGCGAGGATCCCAGACCCTGGGGCAGATCTGCAGACCCCGAACCCCCTTTGAGGCCACCCCCCAGCAGTTTTCTTGGCTCTGCCTCTCTTCCTGACCTCAACAACCCCAAGGGTCTGTGACAGTTGGGTGGGCACTGTAGTGTCGCCCCCCAAGCACCGCCACAGTGCTGTTTTTCCATCCCAAGCTGTGGGACCTGGCCAGGCTGCTGCCCTCTTTGAGACAAAGAAAGATCACCCACGACCATCCGGGTCAGCCTCACGGAAGAGGATGTCCAATTGTCCCTCACTGTGGCCTCCCAGGGGCCACACCTGGCCAGGGGGTTGGGGCACAGGTCCCATCAGTATGGGGTGGGGTGTCTCTCACATAATGTCAGTGCATTTAAAAGGTGTTTTCCTCAGTATAAAATTATACTCATAAAAATTAAAGCACCAAAGATTGGAAAGCAGATTCTCAAAGAGGTATTCGTGCACCTGTGACCCTAGCAGCATCGTTCACAACAGCCCAGGTGTCCACGGACAGATGAGTGGATATACACGAGGTGGCCTGTGCATACAGTGGAATATTACTCAGCCTTGAAAAGGAAGGAAATCCTGACACATGCTATAACATGGGTGAACCTTGGGGACGTTATGCTGAGTGAAACAGACCAGACAGAGAAGGACAAACACTGTGTGACTGCACTCATATGAGGTCCCTAGAGTCGTCAGATTCGTAGAGGCAGGAAGCAGAGTGGTGGGTGCTGGGGCTGGGGAGGGGCTGGGGAGCTGGCATGTAATGGGGACAGAGCTTCAGTTTGGGAAGATGAGGATGCTCTGGGATGGATGGTGGTGACGGCCGCATGGCCGTGTGAATGTGCTTAGTGCCACTAAACTGTGAACTTAAAGATGGTTAGGATGGTAAATGCCGTGTTATGTGTGCTTTACTACAAAAAAATGTGGAAAAAAATTTAAAGCTGAAGCCTGTCCCCTTCCCCCTGAGAATACCTGTTCATGGTGTGGTGAGGGTCTGTTCAGGTCTCTTTGTGGACACTAAAGCCTCTCTTTAGAGCAGGCGTTGTGCGCATCTCTGGCGCCTCCCCGCTCTCTCTGCAGTGCCTCGGGGTCTTTCTGCCAGAGGGGCTCTGCCCGGTCCCCTCCTCCAGACAGGTCTCCTCAAGTCAATTCCCATGGTCCAGTTCATATAAAATACACATTAACTGGCCATATCCCCAGGGATCTTCACAGAAGTGACACAGAGGGGAGCTGAGCCCTGGGACTGGGCTGAGTCTTCCCAGGGCTGGTGCCAGCTCTGCTCCAAGAGCAGGGGGCCTACCGGTGCTGGGGACCACCCTGCCTGGGTTCCCACCCTGGCAAACAGCCCAGGTGTGCACATGCTCACCGGGACTCTCTGAGGCATGCACAGGTAAACATGCCCCAGGTGCCCTCTGTATACCTGCTCTGAGTGACTGCCCCAGGCCAGGGCAGGGCAGGCCTCCGAGGGTGTGAGTCTAGGCCCAGCCCTGCACCTTCCTGGATTCTGCTTGCCCCTCCCCCGCTCAGCGGGGCCCAGCTGGTGCACCTGTGGCCCAGAGCCCGCACTGCACACCCCACGTGGCCCGGCCTTGTCCGGCCGAGGCTCCAGCGCTGCCCGTCCCAGAGCGAGGGAGAGACAGCGCCCAGGTCCGCCCAGAGGGACATGAGAGACAGGGGCCCAGCAGCCAGCAGTGGTCCCAGTACAGAAACACTTACCAGATGGTGCAAAAGTGCAGCACACACTCACCCTTCACACAATCTCATATCCGTGACTGTGGGTAGAAAACTGCCGAGGGACATGAACTAGTGACAGTGGTCCTGCGCTCTGTGACAGGAGTGTGGGCAACCACTCCTTCCCGAACAAATGCACCAAAAACAGAACTGAAACGTGGCAGAAGTGGCTGTCCACAGGCTCATACGCTCCCACACACAAACATGCAAACACACTCAGAAACGCGTACACACAAGCAGCTACGCACATAACTGTGCAGACACACACACACAGCTATACACGCAAACCATGTAAACACACCCTCACAGGTGTGCAAACACACACACACAATCACACAGCACATGAACACACATGCAAATGCACCTACAAACAACACTAGCACAGAGACATGTACAAACACACATGCACAAACGTGCACAAACAGCTGCTGCAAAAAGAACTCAGCTTTTGCCCTGCAGGGAGCAGGGGTGGGTGGTGCTGAGTGTGGGTCACCTCAAGGACCCCCCCCATTGCAGCTGTGTGGTCCTGGCCTGTGGCCCCCAGCCCCATGGCCCCCACCATAGCAGTTCTCTGAGAATTGGCTCTTTCTCCCTGGGCTCTCCACAGCCGAAGCAATCGGCCCTCATGTGCTCTGTGGAGTTGGGGTGTGCAGAGGGGACATCCTGGGGACCCCGTGTCTTCCCTGGAGATCTTGGGCCTCTGGCCTGACCCCAGAGGTTAAGCAGGAAGCTCTTGGGGAGTCCTGGGCCCACAGAGGCCCCTGGTATCCCTGGATCCACTCCCAAAGCTAGACCCCAGGGGAAGCCCTGATGGGACTGCCCCTGGCTGCAGACTCTGAGCAGGGAACTTAGGGTCTCTGGCCAGGCCGGGAAGCACTGCCCACACGGCCCAGCTGTGGCAGGACCAGGACCCCACCCCGTGCGTGCAGAGGAGGCTCAGCCAGCAGGCACAATGGAACCACACTGAGAACCTCGATCCCTCCACCCATGAAGCCAAATCCCTTTGCAAACAGGAGGTCACCTGGCCACCCGCTCTCCGCTGGCTGCCTCCAGCCACTCAACCTTCACTGACAGCTTTGCCCTAGGGCTGCAGCTTGAGGGAAACAGGGCCCCTCCTCCATTCCCTGTCCCTAACCCTGTCCCCAGAACCCCTCCTCCACCCTCTGTCTCCGACCCTGTCCCCAGGACCCCTCCTCTACCCACTGTCCCTGACCCTGTCCCCAGGACCCCTCCTCCACCCACTGTCCTTAATCCTGTCCCCAGGACCCCTCCTCCACCCACTGTCCTTAATCCTGTCCCCAGGACCCCTCCTCCACCCTCTGTCCCTGACCCTGTCCCCAGGACCCCTCCTCCACCCACTGTCCTTAATCCTGTCCCCAGGACCCCTCCTCCACCCACTGTCCCCGACCCTGTCCTCAGGACCTGTTCTCCACCCACTGTCCCCGACCCTGTCCCTAGCACTCCTCCTCCACCCACTGTTCCTAACCCTGTCCCCAGGGCCCCTCCTCCACCCACTGTCCCCAACCCTGTCCCCAGGGCCCCTCCTCCACCCATTGCTCCACCCATTGTCTCTGCTCTTCCATGGGAGGCCAGCTACCCTGTGTGGGCAGAGGCTCCATCTGCACAGGTCTGCTCAGGGACAGAGAAGCACCACTTTGATTTGTGGGGTCCCCAGTGTGGGTTGGCACAAGTGGACATCTCCACCTGCATACAGCCTGGCAAGTCCACTTTGGGTCACACCCAGCAGCCCTTCTCCCAGGACTTCTGTACCTGGGGTGAGCAACAGTCCCTGTTTGCCCAGGACCATCCCAATTTTAAAACAAAAAGTCCTGTATCCCAGCAACCCCCACAGGAGAGCTTAGACCATTGCACCCCAGCCCTGCCAGCTGAATGTGCTGACCCCTCAGAAAGCCTGCGGGTGCGCAGGGGCTGGGGCCAGGCTGTGACGAGGCCGCTGGACCCGAAACACCACTGAACCCCTCAACCTGGCAGATCTAATGTAGTCACTTGTCCAAGCTGGATGCACCTGTCCCGTGGCCCAGGAGGTGTGTGTGGTCTCCAAAGGCCCAGGCAGAAGGGACCCCTTGGGGGTCTTCCCTCAGCCCCGCAGAGCCTACCCCTCGTGTGACCCAGCTGGGTCACCCAGGCTGGTCAGGAAGGTGAGGGTCCTGGGTCCCCACAGAGAGGCTCCACAGGTGTCCCTGTGACCTGACTGCCACATGGAGCTGTGCCCAGGACTAGAGGGGACAGTGAGATTTAAGGAGTACTCCCGACCTTTTCTTGGGGGACTGTGTCTTTTGAAGAATGGGCATTAAGCAGAGGAGGGGAAGGACTTGAGCAGGACCCCGTGGCTCTGGTGGCCAGCGTTTGAGTCCCCTCCCATGATCCCGGCCATGCTAGAGGTGGCCCTTGGATGGGCTTGAATCCACTGCCAGTAGCGCTGCTGGGACGGCTTGGCCGAGGGTTTCCTGGGGAGCCGGCCTGGCCAATCCCACCTCCTCAGACCCCCTCAGGCTTCACTGGACTGGGGTCACCCGGGAAGCTGGCCT